TGGCCACATGAGTAGCTGGGGGAAAAAGTAGCACAAAGCAAGCTGTACATAATTTCCTGGTCAAGATGAGCATGATGCTGGGAGGCCATCAGGTTTGCAGTTGCATTAAGTGGAATAAAAATAGTACATAGATAATGAAATGGAATGGATATAAACTGTTTGCTTCAAGCTTACCCATTGGCAGTCTTGCTGGCGAAGCTAGAACGATTTTCATCCTTTTACTGTCTGCCAAGTATTTGGGAGGGGTAGGGCAGAGCCTGCTGTGCTATCTTCTCATAACTCCATGTGTCCTTGGTAATGCTCTGACCAGATACTTTTCTGCTGTACCCTTGTTGAGACAAGTGACCTTTGGCAGGGTGACTGTGCACTGTTGTTATCTCCTGTGTGCTGCTAATCTCTCTGCTGGTGGTGACCTTTGCCTGTCTGCTGTGACAGGTTGGGATGGTGTGGTTGATCTGCGGTGCAGGAATGTTGCTCAGGTCTCCACTTTTCCTTTTGCTTTGCAGAACCCAGCACAGTTTGGAGAATCAGACTGTGACTCTTCTGAAGGGGAGTGTTCTGATGCCACAGTCAGGACCAATAAGCCCTGCAGCTCTGCTACTTGGTAAAACAGATCTCCCCCAAAGCTTCCTGATACTGGCATTTTGATTTCCCTGAGATTCCACTTCATTCCCCTTCATCACACTTTACAGGAAGAGAAGATGCTTCTCCTTCCCACCCCAGGAGTGATTTGCAATAACCCGAATCTCTGGAAAATGTCCAAATGAAATTAATTCTCTTTGAGCATTTCAATCAAGAATGGCAGGGATGTATTTTATTGAATAATCTAGTTACTGTAACATGGATATTTATTTTTTTGACATTTTAACACTTTTTACTGTAAAGAGTGGATTGTATTTATAGACACACAGACTTATTGCAAAAAATTAAGTTCAGAAAGCAAGCACATTACAGAGAAACATCCTGGGAGTCCTGCCTGGACAGCTATGTGTACAGACGTGAGGGGCTTCTCTTGCTGCTTTCACAGGGGACCAGGCCTCATGGCCCTGAAGATTGGAGAACAGATCAAGAAAACTAAACCACTCAGTCTTACCAAATGAGGAAGCATAAAAAGACCTTACTATAGGGTAACCTGTGAACAAAGCGTATTCAGTATAACCAGCTGGGTCATTTTTAATCAGAAGGTTGGACGTGTTCCTGGAGAATATTGGTACCGAGGTGCTAACTTCCAGGATCTTCTGAGTTGATACATCCCCAGGAATGTAATAGTGGGTTTTATTTTAAAGATTTTTAGTTTCTTTTTTTAATCAGCATTTTGTTGTGAGACCCTGCAAATGTATTCTAACCTCGTCCTCTCGAGAATTGGTATAAGAGCACTTCTTAACATCGTCCTTGCTTCACTCTGGCAATGTCGATCTCCAGTTGAGCAGGGAAACCTCTTTCAGATGCAGTGTGCCATTTCCCAGTTTACTTCCTTCTCTTACCTCCTGTCTGTTTCAGTCAGTCAAAATAATCAATCAAATCAGTGTTGGAAAAGCAAGAACTTGCAAACCGTGGAAAGCACATTCTGCAGAGCCTGAGCACTCTTCTGGGGAGGAAACTGGAGATGCCTGTCCTGGACTTGGAGAAGCAGTCTCTCACCTACAACAGCATCAATAACCAGCAGAGAGCTGTGCGTTGAGGGGGAAGACTGGGAATCACTGGCCTAGGTTAAGAGCATCAGCCCTGCTCTGTCTCCTTATTCACTGTACATTCTTGAAAGCATTAACAGCTGCCTGCCCTTCATGTCAGGCTTTGTGCAAAACGGGTTGCACAGGGAATCTCCATGGTAGCTGTGTCACAGCTGTGTCTCAGGTGTACCCTGAGGCCTCTGTTTCTCCTTTAAGCTGACACTCTGCAGGTGAAAGTGAGAATAGTACTGCTATGTGACAGGCCGAGGCATTGGCAGATGAGAAAAATTTGTTTTCTGATAGAACTCATAGTGCCTTCCCTTCAAACACTACTCTTCTAAAACAATATTTAAAGAGAACAAAACGATAGAGCACGATTCCCCCCCTACCCCTTTAGCTGATGTTGCCCTGCAAGAGCTTTCACTCTGCCCTTCCTAGCGTGCTGGGTGCTGCTCTGCAGACTGGCACACCAGCCTGAGGTGAACGGCAGGAATGGACCATGGACAGGTACTTTTGTTGCTTTGTTTGTTTACATTTTATGTTAAAATACTGGTTTGAATTTAACTGTGGTAATTTATAGCCTCATGGCAAAGTGAAGGAAAATGTCTTACTTATACAGAGAGCAGTATTGTATGAGTTTAAATTATCCCATATTTTTAAATTTTTGTAGCTGGACTACACACAGATCTTAAGTTATGATGTTATTTTATTATTTATTATCATTTCTGTAGATCAGAAGGTTTGCTTCACTGCTAGCACAATTGTAATCTGTTTGTGTGATGTTACCTTCTCCCTGGTAGCTGGGGGGGAATGGGAGCAGAGCTGGTCTCAGCAGCTGTCAGTAGTGGCTGCCTCTCGTGGTTTCTAAGGATGCTGTTACACTGGGCCAGAGAACCTGTCAAGGCTGTTCTGAGAGGTGGATGCAGTCAGCCTCATGGTACTCCTCGTGGTTAATGCTGCAATGTGCTTGTTTTGCTGGTAGAGTTGACAGCTCCTGATCTCATGGGGAATGGTGATCAGGGAGTGAGTGGCTTCTGAACTGGTCACAAAATGAACAAGATCCCTGGCAAGAGCACTCAAAAGGACAAGCAGAGAGGAGGGCAGTTGCTCTGGGCAGCAGGTACAAGATTGGGGTGGCCAGCAGTGGATCCACATGGTGGATTATCCGTGTCGGACCAAAGAGGTTGCTGGAGAGGGAGCAACCAGCTCATACCTGCGTGCAGCAGCAATACTCAGCTCTGGGTGGAAGCAGAATGCCATTGGGGAGTGAAGCTCTTTCCTGGCTTGTTTCTTGTTTCCTCACTCTTCTCATCCCTCATTTCTCCCCCAGATGTTCTCTGTTTATTGGCCAGCGGCAGGAGGAGGTGAAAGGCTTGCTGTCATGGTGTGTGTGTGATTTTGGTGTGGAATAGGTGGTGCAGATGGTCACTCAGGAGGCTAGAGGCCGGGGTGCAGGAATTTAGCAATGGAGAACTGTGTGCACTTAACATACGCACACAAAGAGAGAGACTGAACAATTGCATACAGAGGTTGAGAACTGCCATCAAATGTCCCCCACAGCAGAGGATGCCAGACCTTATGTCCCTGGAGACACTCTGCTGCTCAGATTTGACAGGCTTCTTGAGCTCCGGCAGGCAGAGCTATTCCCAGCCTGGGCAGCACTGGTGTCCTAGGGCAGCCTTACAGCCAAAGGAGAGCTGCCTCCAGCTCAGGCCTGTCGGAGTCTCTGTGCAGGGACTTGTCTGCAATGATTCAGTCCCTAACAAAGATCCCAGAGGGGTTTTGGTAGCTGTGGTCTCTGCTTAGCCCTCTTCCACCATATAATGAAATTTCTCTGGGCGTGCAGAGAAACTTTGATGTGTGGGATTTTGGGACCTTTCTGGGCCAGGTGGTCCCAGATGTGTGCTGATTCCTCCCCATCCTTGCCTGGGGACACTGGCCCATTCTGCAGCCCGGAAAAGCAGAGCTGAACCCTTCAGGTTATCTGCTGCCACACTTAGCTCTAGTTTCTTTACATGCCCCAGTCATTGCATTGTTGCAGTCCAGTGTCGCTCATCCTAACTGCTGCCTACTATGCAGTGTCCCTTTGGGACTGCCACTAGGGCATCCCCCCCTTGCCTAAACACATAACACTGTACCCATGGAGATGTAATCCCAGGCTCCCGCTGCGCACATCCCATGCCCTTGGCTGTGTGCAGGCAGGAGTGGCTCAGCATTCCCCTGCATTCTTGGCAGTTTTTCAGGGGGTTATATAGGCATTTTCCTTAATGAAACCTCCCTAGATCTGCACATAGACATGATCTCCATGTTGCTGTATGGGCACTTCTGCTGCGGTTCCTCACATGTTCTCCCCTAGCAGGGTATGGGGCTGAGAGGTGTAAGTCAGCCTGCTTTCTCCTCTCAGCAACACTGTATTTGCAGGGCAGAAGTAAACTGTTGGTTCCTTTTTCAGCATCCTGACTACCCTGATCCAGTTCTCACGGCTGCTGACAGCTCCTGAACACTAGCCTAGATTTTCTCTCAGAGCTGAATGTTGCGTTCCCCACTGTCGTGTTCTAAGTAACCATTTCATCTTGGCCCTGTCCAGTAGTGTTCATCTCCCTCCTCCCTGCTCTGTGGATTCCTGATACAAACTTGATTTATTTTTTTTTTTTTTGTATTGAACAGTGTACAGTGATGGAAACAAGAATGACTATCAAAGCAAACAATGCATGGAATAAAAAGCCAGTGTACTTCAATGCTTCTCAGGCTGGTTTGGTGATGTGGGAATGGTTTCTTGTGTACTTTGGGACAATGTCATGAAGCCTTTTAATAACTAATTGTTACGTATCTCTGAACACAGCTCAACTGGAACTACCAGGAGCTCCAAGTAGCAGGGAAGCCTTGGTTGGACACATGTAGCCTATCAGTGCACGAAAGCATTGGCTTTTGCTCTTGTCAAATGAGTGATTTTTTTGCAATGTGAACTGGGGACTGAATCTGCAGCCATGACTTTTCATCCTGGGAACCTTGCTGTCCCACTCAGTTTCAGCCCTACTGGTGGGGATGAAGCATTCACTGTCTCATCTTCCCGAGTGCTCCCATCTGCCCTCTTCCATGCCAGAAAGTTTACTTTGTCCTCTGAGTGGAGGGCAGACTCATGAAGAGTAGAGCAAGGAGGTGCAAATACCAAAACCCCAGAAGCAGAGTATCTAATAAGATAATATGACCTTCAGCAATGGAACAAAGACTTAACCTGCTTATTTGGAAACCTTCTAGTTACACATGAACAAATGTGTAGGTTTCAAAGGTACTGCCAGCTGGGCACATCAAGCTCTTTATTTCTTCCCCCCGCCCTTAGACTTTGTGGGGAGTAGCAGCCACTGACAGAAACAATCTCCTGAGTTCTGACATATGAATGGTACGTACCAGCAGCTCACAGCTGGTCCCAAATCCTGAATGATTTTGCTGCAGGGTGCACTTAACATCTGAATGATAGAGGAACAGTCTTTTACAACTGTGCAAGCTCTCCTACAGAAGGTGCAGAAACATGATTACTTTCTTCTCAACTTGGTCCTTGTACTACTGTACCTAACAGCACAGAAGTGCATGGTTTCTCATTTCAGGCCAAAAATGCTGAACAAATATGGGTTTGGAGAGGACAGGGGGAGGAGGGAGCAGGGCCTGCCTAAAGCTGGGAAATGCTGCTGCAAACTAGCTGCTGTTGCAGCTTGACACAGCCCTATGTGCTGTGGCCTCCCAAGCGCCAAGGGATGAGGCTGGGCAGAAACCCAGCTGTCTGCTGCCACATCAGTCACACCAGTGAGACAAGCTGGGCTTATGGAGCTGGATTTGGAAGGAAGGATGGGAGCCCAGTGGAAGCCTGTCTTGACTTGGGAGGGAGACTGTGGTGCTTGGGCTCCCTCTGTTCAAGAGCTGGGAGGAACTAAGGGGTTCTGATTTGCCTTCCTCATGGGATGCTAATTCTCCCTGTTTTTCATCCCCGTGCTGATACATTTGCAGGGGGTTGTCAATATCCTCAGGCACGCTGGAGGCACAGGCCAATTTAAACAAAACAGGCACATTAACCGAAGTATTCACAGAGCCCCTGTATAGTGCTCTCCGTGCAGATACATGCACAGTTAAAACATTAATTAAAAATAAAGATCCTTATACCTCCTCTTTGACAAGAAGAATGATTTAAAAACTGCAATTGTCCTTGGTCCACGCTGGCACAGAGCATGCAGAATATAGCCCCCGAGACAGAGAGCTGTTGTGAGGCCCCAACATCTGGGGCACCTGGGCCATCACAAGCTCTTTTTGCCGTTGAGTATCTGAGTGTGCTTGTTGTCATCCAGCTTCAAGCGCTTCTTGCTGTACTTCTTGATAAGGGTCCCTGGTATCAGTGCTGCCACAGCCATTGCGAGCAGTTTGAGCAATGTGTCCCAGGAGAAAATGGCATCCAAAGAGGTGATTTGTGACAGAATGGCTCCTGTCTGCACACAGATGAAATTATATGGGGTAAGACCTGAAAGAATCAGAGCAGAAAAAACCCTGTTAGCATCGCACCTACGTAAAATTATCTCAAGTACACCCTTGCCCAAGGCCAGACACAGGAGTCTGTGTTCATAATGGAAAGAATGGGGTTCTTTCTCCACTGGTATCTGTAAAATGCTCAAGACCTCCAAGTGTAAGGGCAGCACAAAGGCAAACAGTTCAACGGGGCAGAGTCCCAGCTATGACCCTGGTGCTCTGCCTTCCAGAGCCCAGTGTACTGCCCAAGGCTTGATGATGAGGAGACAGGCAGTGTCACACTACCCCCTCAGACAGTCTCCCCAGGCCTTACCAATGAGGACGGAGAAGAAGAACTGGGACACAGGGATGTTTAAAATGGGAGCTGAGAGATTCAGAAACCAGTTTGGTGTCATGGGGAACAGCCTCAGGAACAACAAGAAGAAAAATAAGCAGCTCCTGTTCTCTTCTACCTGCCAAGAGAAACGTTCCAAATTATTTCTGCCCTTCAGACACAAGTAATATCTGAATGGCAACAATACTAAAGTGAGGTTTTCTTCTAACATGCCATTACATCAGTCCAGAACTGATGAAAAGCATCAAATATATGTATGTATGTGTGCCTAATGGTAAGGCAGCCCCTTCCATTCAAGTGGTGAAAATGGGCTGTAACCTGCATGACATCAGGAAGTCAATGTCAGAACCACCTCGAGCTGTACAATGTAGCACAAAATGGGCAAGAGGCAGCTCTGGAGCACAGGGGCTTCCCAGCCAATCCATTTGATGTTACTTTTGATCCCTGGCAGTGTTCAAGGCCAGGCTGGACGGGACTTGGAGCAGCCTGGTCTAGTGGAAGGTGTCCCTGCTGTGGCAGGGGATTGGAACTGGATGAGCTTTAAGATCCTTTCCAAACCAAACCAGTCTGGGACTTTCCATGCACCCTCTTTGCAATCAGGCTTGCTCCCAAGAAAGCAGTCTGCTCTTAGGTTGTGCCAGAGGTCTCTTACAGACCTGTGTGCTTTCATTGTTTCACAAAGTCAGCTCACAAGGCAGCCTCAACCAGGGGCTGCTCTGCGTGTCTGCACAGCCAGCCCCGTTCTTACCTTTCCTTGCAGCAGAGCCACTTTGTCAGGAAAGTAGTAGACGATGAGCTGCTTCCCGAACGCGCCAGAGATCAGGTAGCAGAAGGTCGCTCCCACAGACGTTAGGGCTGAGCACAGCACCAGCCCGGTCCACGGCCCGAACAGCGCTCCAGCCAGGACGTTCTGCCGGGGCACAACAGACTGAGAGCCGGACGGGACAAACGCGTGTGCCCTCACACCCGCTGCCTTCAGGCGATAGCCCTGTTCCTCACCCAGCACCAGCTGCGGGCACAGGGCCCCTCTAAGAGGTTGGTACCGGCTCCCGCCCTGCAAGCACCCCTCGCCCCGCTCCCGTACCAGGAGGCTGGAGCCGGGGATGGCGAAGCTCTGCTTGTAGAGGTACGCGGCGCAAAACAAGGCCAGCGCCGCGCCCCGGTGCTGCCTCTCGTAGTCCCGCAGCGCCTCGGCCAACTCCCGCAGCTCCTCCAGGTCCGACGGGAACCGCAGTGGCCTGAAGGGGAAGGATGGGAAGGAAGAGCACGGGGAACGCCGGGGCGCAGACCCGCATCACCCCCGCCGTACCCACCTGCGCGCCTGCCCGGCGCTCAGCCGCGACGACAGCAGCCACAACCCGGCCGTGGCGGCCGCGAAGGCGAGCAGCAGCCCCGCCAGCCGCCGCCACATCCCGCGGTGCGGTGCGGTGCGGTGCGGTGCGGTGCGGTGCGGCGCGGCCTCACACGCCGCGCAGGCGCGGGGCGGAGCGGAGCGCGGCCGCCCCGAGGGACCCGCCTCCTCCCAGGGCACAAAGGCGGTCCCGAATCCCAGAAGCACGGCAGGACCTCGTGTTTCTTATGTCAGTTCCACAGCCCCGTTTATAAATCAGGTCATTGATACAAGTGCCCTGCCGCGCTGTCGTCTGTTCTCCGCAGAAGGTGCCGTGGAGCTTTCGGGTGAGTCCCCAGACGGCTGTGAACGGCTGTCACCGTCAGATGTGCAGGTCTTAGCTCCTACCTCAGCATGGGATAGGCTTGAAGGTGTGTTTGGTGTTCTCCATCAGCACAAGGTCGTACCTGCACAGCTGTGGTCTGCATAAACACAGTAATGCAAGCCAGAAAGTGAAAGATCAGCCTTTCTTGTATCACCTCCCAGTCAAGTCTCCCAGCATGCTGGAGGCTCACATTTAATCAGTCGTTCTCAGGACAGCTAGCTTGAATTCCACCTAAAGTGAGGTTGAGTTCAAGCCTTACCGATGTCAGGGATACCTTGATCATTCTGTTCTTTGTTATCTTTGGCATTTCCTTGTGGAAAAAGCAACACAAAAGTCAGCAAGCAAACTGAGGCTCTGGAGTTCATGGTTCCCTCTAAGCCAGTCTACACTTGTGTGCACCCTGAGCGGGGTGGTCCTTCCAGCTCACCAATTCCCTGGTGCCAGTGTTAGGGATTGTGCTGGCACTTGGAGCTGGGACCAGGCATTGATCTGGCTTAGAGCTAGACCAGCCAAAAAACAGTGGAAACACTTACGGTTTCACCTGGGACCACGTGAGCATTGTTAATTAGCACTGGAGTAAGGAAAAAGACAGGGCAGGACATCCCTCCATGTGACAGCGACACATAATGGTGTTAAAACAGTCATGTAACTGTGCTCATAGTCTGTAGCAGCTCCTCCTAGGAGAGACTAGACAGCCTCTGATGAAAAGTTAGGGCATTTGCACCTGCTTTTTAAAGGTTGTATGTGGCTCTTGGGCTGGAAGTGACTGTGGAGATAGGGAACAGGAGAAAGTGAGTGTCAGCAAGGGGGAGGTGCAGAAGGACTGACTTTGCTTATTAGGTATATACACCGTCTTTTCCTTATTGCAAGGCTAAGATAAGCTGACCTTCATCGTCTGCAAGCAAACATGTTCCGCAGCTCTGTCCTTTTGTTTTTGCTTCACCCTCCTCACTCTGTGATATGCAATCCTTGTTTAACCCAAGTTTAAAGCATGGTATGGATTGATGTTCACATAGCAACATAGGGTCAACCTAAGAGATTATGTACTTGCTGAGCTCAGGTAGAGATCCTGTCCTGCAAAGGTGCCCTAGAAATCAGGGAAGCTTAAGGGTAGGACTCCAGAGCAGAGGTGACTGAAGCAGCTGTAGAGGTCTCATCCGCAAATAACCTAGCAGGTGCCTCACGATGTGGACGGTAGTCAGTGCGTTAGGGCATAGCGGCAAGCAGCTCCCAGTTCCTGGAATTCCAGGAGTAAATTAATCTCCCTGCTTGGCTGGACTTAGAAATTGGCTGGGTTATAAAATGTGTATTTGGGGCTGGATATCTGTATTAGATTTACCTGCAGTCTAGAGTTCGCGTCCGGGCAGCTTCTCAACAGTTGTTTTCCTGACCAAAGGTACAAAGGTCAGGCCACATCAGAGTTGGGCCACTAAGTACATGTGTTTAGTACAATAAGACAAAGTCTGTGTTCAGGTGCGTGCTCACCTATGGGATTTGTGTGTAGGCACTAAAGACAGCATTTATTCCTAAGGCAGGTGTACAAGAGTGAAATGTGAAATAAAACTAATTCTTCTGGACAAACTTAGCCAGGCCAGGAATGTGGGAGATTGATTCACTTCTGTCCAGTCTGCAATGGCTTCTAAACCTCTGCTTACCTTTCTGGATTTGTAAGTGACCGGAACCTCATTTGGAGAATCCTGAGTTTGAATTTTGGGCCAATGACAGATCCTGTGGAAAACGTCAGGGAAATCCTTTCTATATTTTCAAAATCCTGGTCAAATCCAACTAGCAAAGTGATTTGGTTGTAACGCTGAAAGGCTGAAACTTCTCTAAAGATAAAGCAGACAAGGTGTTGGAGAGTCACTAAGGGAATAGCACCACTTGTAATACATTCAGTGTGATATTAGGAACAGTGCTGGGGTGAGGACTGAACTCACAATCAGCTTCTGATTTACAGGAAATTCAGGTCTCCAGGTGTGAACCTGCTCAGCCACTTTTGCACTCAGTTATTCGGGGTGAGAGTGGGGACACAGAGGTCTGATGTCATTTGCTCTGGTCCCAAACCAGAATCCCCACTGTGATGCTGTTTTGAATCCAAGTGGCCCAGACTCGAATGATGTTTGTACCTGGCTGTGTGTGCAGACCTGAACACTGAGTCACTTGTGGAGTCTGGAGAATACACTGCTGTATATAGACATCTGTTTGTAACAACACTGTATGGCTGAGGAAGCTCTACAAATGGAAGACTGTACCTTGGGGGTATTAATGCCCCTAGCTAAATTTCTGGTAGGTCTCTTCCAGCAAATGCAGCAGAAGCATCTGTGAAACAGTGCAGTGTTGAGTGGAATGAATGGAAAGTAATCCAGCTTTAAGCACAGGCTTAGAGACATGAAAACTTGCAGGGCTGGGGTTTGACAGGATGGCCAGTTCCACTTTGAGATATGCATGAAAACAGAACCTGTCTTGGTGCAGAAGCAGCACAACCGTGGCCATGACCACACAACACATTCTTTATATCTCTGGTTGTATGGCCATCGTTTAAAGTTTTCCCTTAGGAAGGTGAAGAGTGCAGTTGTGATGGAAGTGTATCCTGGTTGCAATGCTCAAAATGTCTGGTCTTGTTGAGAAGTTTTAGGAGTCTGACAAAATAGGGCAGGTTTTAACCTGCCAAAGGTGTTTCTGATGCGTGTGTGTGTAGGCAAGCTGCCTGGTGGGCTGCCACACACTCGCTGGTCCTGTTGTGCAGCCTCAGGGAGCTATGCAGATTGCTCCAGTGCAAGCAGATATGGCTGAGAGAGTATGCAGATAGAGAAAACTAGTTGAGCAGGACTTGTTTGTCTGAAGCGTGTTATGATCAATTGGGAATTTGTATGTCAACATAAGACCAGTCATTAATTTGCCTCTCCAAGTGAAATGAATTGATTTGGGTGTTACATAGTCAGGCTCAGGTTCATCCCAGCTGTCTTGGGCACCCAGAGCTGCAACGGAATACTCCCTGGAAGGGGAAGGAAAGAGGGGGAGATGTGTTTTTTTCCTCCTGCTTTAGTGGAAGTGCAGGACAGCTGTGCCCCTGGCTGAGATTGTCCACTTCAGTCCTTTAGATGACTGCGAAGAGCCCAAACCAAATGCCTGGGCTGTCAGCTGCTCTGCGGCAGGGAAGCCTGTGAGGATTGCGTAGGGCCAGGAAAGCCCTAAGGCATGTACCCTGCCAAGGATCAGCAGGGAAATGAGAGGAGGGTATCTTGCCTCCTCGCAGATGCAGTCATACCAAGTGGTTTGCTAATATTTAGGGACCATAGATGGGTAAGACTTACGGGTTAACTTTAGATTCTGCCTCCTTCCCAGTTTCATCAGCTAGTACAATGCTGAAGGTGCCTCTTCTGGTGTCTTTGTTCCATGTAATTATATCCACAAAGTAGTGATAAACTGAGGAGAGAGAGAGAGCACAAGCTTGGTCAGACTCTGCATGCTTGCTTTGCTTTCCAGCCCAGCTCTGTGCCTGTCTGGAGCTGAACTGCAGTCAGAGGATGACTTCCTCCCATTCAGTTCATCTCTAAAACCTCTTTCTCCATCCCTTTTTCCACCTCCCTTTGCAGAGATTGCTAACAGAAATATTAAGAGATGTGGGAAAGCCCTGCAGCAAGGGTTACACAAATGGCATGCAAGATGGCCTTTCAGCACACGCCCTCTCACTCCCTGCCTTCCTCATTCATTTTCAGATTGCCTTTTCTTTGTCCTATCTGCCTCTGAATGTCCACTCCTGAACCCCTTCATTTCTTTTTTGCCATCTTTCATTTGTCTTCTCCGTCTTAGAGCAGAATTGTCTGTTCTTTCCTCTGCTCTGTCAGTCACAGAATTCGCTTGCTGACCAGCCATAATCCCTGCCCATGGCTTGGTATGTTGGTGGCCACTGAGATGAGGAGAAACCTTGGGGAAACCTTTTTTTACACCGATTCTCCCTTGCCTGGGCCCTTTCCCTGTGCCTTTTGCTTTTGTCCATGGTAGCTCTTTCACCTGTTCAGCTCAGAGCATGCCTTTGACTCTCATTGTTCCCACACAACTTTTCCTTGCACCACACCTTGTGGTGTGTTGTTTTGAAACACAGCTTAGGAACTACCCTTTCATGTTTCATTTGCGTGTTCTCAGCAAATTTCCTAGCACCGTAAGCAAGATGAGCCTGTTCTTAACACATCTCTAGCAAGCAACTGGCTTTCCACAGCACCGGGCAGGTTTGCAGATAAAGAACGTAATGGCAAGGCTGCAGATGGACACAATTCTACCCAGCAGCTGCTGGCTTTGCTTCTAAAATGCTGCCTATGATGCCAATTGCAACTAAACGTCCCTGCTCAGCTGCTGTGGAAGGAGGCAATACGCAGAGAAAAACGATCTCAGAAATCTTAGTCACTTACTGCAGAATGGCTCTTTGTCTGCCGTATCAAAAAACATACTTGTCACTGGATGGCTCTGTTGTGTTAAATAGCTTTTCCACTCATGGGTATAATAACCTATAGATGACAGTTTGTAGAGGAAACAGAGTTACTGCACAGGTAGGTAAGCAACTAAATTGCTGAAAATAACAAAGCAAGTATTTAAGAAATAGCATATTGCTTGCCAGCTGTGAGGTGGTGCTGTGACGCATGCTCCTGGGCTCTGCAGACTTGTACCAGGGCTGGGTTTGACTTGTGTAACTAAAGCCAGCTGAGTGTCTAAATATGCCTGGTTACTGCTCAATGCTTATTTTAAGGTCAGTCT